TGAAGAAAAAACCTTGGTTCCTTTGCAGGAACAGGCCACCTGAACCTGCCCCAGCTGGGGGGCTGCTGCCATGAGGATGGGCTTGGGGAGAAGGAGATGCCCTTGGAGGTACCTTTCAGCTCCACAGCCAGGATCCTCTGGGGTCATTTGTAATTTGGCAAAGGCAGCGTGGAACAGGAGACGCAGTGCTGGGCCTGGAATCAGGAATCCCATCCTCAGACATTTACCTAGATGAGGGGCCCTGGCAGTCAGGAGCCACACTAACCCTCTCTGAGATCCCCCAAGATGGCGTGAGGATCTATAATGTAGGCAACTTCAAAGCACCTTCTAAATAGGAGCCCCTATTCTTGTATTTGGGTTCTGTTTAGGTCTATGGTAACTGGTCTAACAATTAGAACCCGCTGTGCAGGGAGGAGTGGGATGAAGAACTGGAACTCTGGCCACTGGTGGGGGTAGGAGCCCCAGAGAGCACCAGTTATCTGTGCTGGTAAGTCTGATAGACCTGCCAAAGGTCCCTGAGCCTCCACAGTGCTGTCCTTGAGTACTCTGAGAAGGAAACAGAAGGCAGGGGAGAAAAAGATAATAACGGCTAACATTTACATAGCACTTTAGGGTGTACAAAACACTTTTCAAATGGTATCTCATTTGGTTCTCACAATAACCCTGGGAGGTAGGTGCTATTATTATCCCCATTTTACAGATGAGGAAACTGAGGCTGAGAAAGAGAAAGTGATTTGCCAAGAGTCAGTAGCTAAGTAAGCCTCTGAGGCAAGAAATCTGCAAAACAAAACATCCTACTTCAGGAACTTAACATGAAAGATGAGGAGCTAAAAAAGACAAAACAAAACAAAACATTGTCCTCTCCCACAAATACAATTGAAAATGTCTTTAAAGAAAAAGGGAGAGCACATGATCTTTATAGGCATAATGGCAGCACATCGCTGAAAAATAAATATCCCAGGTGAAATATTACCTCTCCCAGTACACAGACCAAATGGGAACACTTCAGAGCCCACTTAATTCATTTCAGGGGAACATCAGAGGGTGTAAATGATCCAATGATTTCACCAACAGCAAGCATAAGACCTATAGGAGTAAAGGCTAAAACCCACCCCAATACCTCCTTGAGTAACTGCTTATGCATGACAAAGTGCTTTCAAAGGGCAGTTTGGACCTCACAAATAGTATCAGTATCTTTTAAAAGATATAGAGCACAGTTTCTTTCTCATCAGTCCACCATTTCCCAGGCAACAAGAAGAGGTTACTTCAAAATCCTGAAAATAACTGGAGTCCCCTATTTTTTCTTCCCATGCTTAACTGCAGCCATTTGTTGGCATTCAAAAGGCGGCCCCCTTAACCATTTATTCTCAATGTAAATGCTGTGGGGAATAGTTTAGGAGTTTGTTGGGCTTCTGCATTTCTCACTCAGTATATTCTATGGGGAACAAAACTCACTTTTCTCTGTAACAAATAACCCTTCTATCTGCCAAGCATCTAGAAGAGAAGGCCCTCAACTCAACCCAACCCAAAAACAGAATGTTGTTGTCCAGTGGCTTCAGTCACATCTGACTCTTCGTGACCCTGTGTGGGGTTTTCTTGGCAAAGGTACTGAAGTGGTTTGCCATTTCTTTCTCCCACTCATTTTACAGATAAGGAATGGAGGCAAACAGGGTTAGGCGACTTGCCTGGGGTCACACTGCTAGTAAGTGTCTGAGGCTGGATTTAAACTCAGGTCTTCCTAACTGTAGGCCTAGTACTCTATCCACTGGGCCACCTAGCTGCCCAAATACAAAATGAAGATCATTAAAACAATAAAAAAAAGATGAAAACTACTTATGCCCCTCAGTGTGCCTGAGATTAGACAAGGGAAATCTGTTATATGATGGCTGAAAAAACAAAAATCATGCCTCACCTTCACCTTTCCTGCCCGATTTAGGTCACCTTGAGTGGAAATGCCAACTTTCTGGCCTTCGTCGATCACGATCTGTAAATACAGTAAGAATAAAAGACGGGAAAGGAAACAGCACAAAGCCCAAGCATGGCCTGGAGAGCACTAGCCTTCCCTTCTCTTCCCTGTTTATTAGAGGTGCCTGCTGAACCCACTCCACTAAAGAGCAGCAGAATCCACAGGAAGGGGCTTCCTGAGGCCTGGCTGCTATTTCTACCTCCCCTAACCTATCCACAGCAGAAGCAGGCCTCAGCTACTTAAACTCCGTTTCTCCTGTGTACAATGGGAATAACACAAGGAATACTGAAGGAACAAAAGAGAGAATGTTGGCGCAGACTTTTCAGCTCCTCAGAGAACATGGCTACTTGGGGCTCTCCAGGGTCAACCCAAAGTTCTTCTCCCTAAAAGCCACCCAAGGGCCTAAGGCAGTAATCCAAGGGCTCGAGAATGCCTAGGAGCCAAGGCCATGCATGGCCATTAGAAATCTGCCCCTGCTCCTTCTTCTTCCCCTCCCTACCTCCTGTACTGGGTTGGGGGGGGGGGGAGGAAGGAGGTAGGATAATAAATACTGCTTTATTTAAAAAAAAAAGAAAGAAAAAACTCTGCATCTACAAAAGAAAAAAAGGCCTATGATCTTAAATCCCATGAGCTCTCACTGGCCTAGGTTCTGGTACTAAATAAATAAATAAAGGTCATTGCTGTAACTTAGAAAACAGATTTTTTTTTCATATAGCCTTCTTTTCTAATCCTTTACAAAACTGCTCTCTGGTCACAGCTAGACCACTATACACAACCTGGCCACCAGGTTCCAAAACAGGGAAAGAAAATGCAAACTAACACACTTAAAGAAAGAAACCTTCTTGGCAAATTTACAAAAGCATGACGATTATGGATTTGGTTGCCAAATATGGATATGGTAAAACTTAAGGTTGTCCTTTGAAGCAGGTGGTTTTAAGACCACAAAAAAGTGAGTTTCATTTTCTACTCTAGGTTACTATTACAGTGGAACTCTTTACTCTAAGTAGAAGTACAAGTACAAATTAATTAATGGGTTCAAGAGAAAATCCTGCATGGGAGAGCCCTCGTAGATTTTGGAGGAAGTCTAGGGGGCGTCCATAACCACTGGAAATTGACACCTTAGAGCAGAATAAGAACCTCTTTGTTTCTGTCCTGGCCCCCTGGCTGGTGAGACCTAGGCACCTTTTCTCAGAATAATGCTTTAAAATGCATAAAATAGAGGTGGCTTGGGTCAGTTGTGCCACCCACCCACTCTGCCCTGGAACTCCACAACAAAGGTCACCATGCTATGGACACCGCCAAGGAGTAGGTCAGAACCCTAACAAGGCTCTTGACTTTCGTGGGATCACAAACCAAAGGAATCCTATTAACTCCCCTCATGCATTCATCTCAGCCTTTCCGGGTCTCCAATCACAACTGAAGCAGCCAGCGTAGGGTGACAACCAACACACGGAAGGAACTCATTGGTAAGACCCTGGATGCCCTAGCAATTACTACTGGGCTGGTTACCTTAGTGTTGGAAGAAGATGGCACAGCTATGCATACCGAAGAATTCTTTCAGACCCCAGAAGATAATACACATTTCATCTTGGAAAAAGGACAGAAGTGGACACTGGGTCCTAAATATGTTACTCAGGAGCAAAAAGAAGTCTGGAATAGCAAGAGTCACTTTGGACTTGTAAAAGATGAATCGCAAAGACTTCCTTGGATGCTTAAATGTGAAAGCCACCAAGTATGAGCTATACTCTGTGTCCTATGACATCAAATGCACATCTGCAAAGCTGTGCTAAGGCACTTCTTGCGGTTTACATCCTATGCTGCCCAAGTGACCAAACGGTTTCTCATCTTCATGGGGAGTTACATGTTCTGTGTGCTTAATGACACTGATGATTCTACTCCTCCTCTGAAACCAAGACCCAAGGGCTGGCTTTGATAGGGGCAGCGCCTTAAATTAAAGGGACTGTAGCTGGCTCCTTTCATTTCCTGCCCAATGTTAACTTTTAAATGCCTGGTTTCAGGGATGCCACTTATATTCTTAGATATATCTGAAAGCCAGCTTACGTGTGAAATCATACTTCTAGCAAGCAAATGCAGGAAAAGTACTGATGCCATGAAAGAAATAAAGAACTGGCAAACAGTAAAAGAAAAATAAAATAAAATGCATAAAATACATTACATGGGATTACAAAGAAAACCAATTATATGGAAATAAAATTAATACTTTTTTTTAAGAAACAAGCTCACGGACTCAAGGTTAAGACTCTAGCTTTAGAAGACAACCACGTGAGAGTAGAACATTTTGCAATCCCAATTGGTCCATCAGACAGCCCTTTATTAAGCCCCTGGTATGAGCCAGCGACCAAACAAGGTATCAAGAATTCAAAGGCACAGATGAAACAGTCCAAATGCTCAAAGAGTTCACATTCTCCTGGGGAGATAGATCCCACTTGTAAGACAACACATACATAATATACACAAAAGAAAGACCAGGTAAAGGTAGAAGGAAAGTACTTGCAGCCAGAGGAAGAACCAGGAAAGGTTTCATGGAGAAGGCGGGATGGAGCTGAGCTTTTGAAGGGAACTGGGCACTCCCAGAGGCAAAGGTGAGGAGGGAGGGCATTCCAGCCACAGAGGTCAGCCAGTGCAAAGTCCTAGTGATGGGAGCTGGAGTGTGGCGTGTGAGGTACATGATGTAACAGAAAGAACACACAAGTTAAGAATCAGATCTGAATTCAAATCCCAGTTCTGACACTTACTGGCCATGGGACCAGATACAAGGAATTTCCCCTCTTCCACCCCTCAGTTTCCTCCTCAGTATGATCGACTGTCACACTTACAGAACCTTCCTTCCAAGGCTGTTGTAAGGAAGAGGCTTGACCCAAAACAGGGCTGAGCAGGCCCCTCCTGAAACTTGTCATCCATGACAGCACCTGCTGGGGGTGCTGCTGGACCCCAACCAAAGCTCACATTTGGGCTACCACTTGCCAACATGTGATCTCACTGATCCTCCCTTGACCACTGGGAGGGTGGCAGATGCCATGACTGGCTGGCTCCCACACTACATACCTGAAACAGGGTTTCTCATCACACTTACCTGTTACCAAGGACAAGTCTTACTATTTCTGTTTAATAGATGAGAAAACTGAGGCTCAAAGACAACCCCGGGCCCTCCAGCTCAAGGGTCCTGACTGAGTCCACAGATACATGGAGGTGCCCCTGGTATTACCTGCTCTTCCTCTGGAGGATGTGCTGTGGGATGGAGAGAAGGAGAAAGGCGCTCATTCCTGACGCTCTGAGTTCCAGGATACACACCTGTGGCAAAGCTGTTTCCTGAAGAAACAGCTCCAGGTGTTCTGTTCTTGATCACTTGACGATCTGGAAGGATAAATGTTTTTATATTAGAAACCTCCTCGAGGCCCCATGTCCAAGGGATCCTTTTGTTATGAAGCACCTTTCTTCCAAACATTTATACCTACTTGATAAGCATACCACTTAGGGCATGAATACATCTTATTAATTCTACTGAATAGGTAAGGAAATAAAAGTATGTGAAGAGATTGTTTGCTCTTGTCACAAGGAAACAACATAACTAAACTTCCCTCCTGGGATAAGAAAGCAGAAAGCACAATCCCTTCCTGTAAGCAAGACTTCATTGCATATATGCCAGGGAAAGAAAGTTGTTTAGCATATTTTCAGGATGCCTTCCAAGCAAAATGACTCAACAGACTTACCAGTACGCCTGTGCTTACAGGCTTCTATAGTAACAAATGGGTACCTAACCTGGATCTCTCTTCTCCAGATATCAATGAAACATCTGTACTGACTGAAAGAGGATCTCCAACTATGAGATCACAGAACCATTGAAGAACTAAAACACAAATCTACTCTAGAAGTAGAAATCAATATCAGTGGCTGCTGGAAATTAATGGCACAATCCAGAGGTGGCCAAACAGTGGTTTGTAGGCCATTGACAGTTCTCTATATCGACAATTCTCTAGGGATCTGGAAGTGACTCTCAACTCTTACCAAACATTACTGCTGCCAAATCTTCTAAGAGAAACATAAAGGAACACCATTTGATCACTTTGGCCATGGTTGGCAACATGAACCTTTTTTTTTTTAAATATGAACACTAAATGAATTTACATGATCCCCTGTAGAGGGATCATGCTAATTATCTCTATATCATTCTACTTTTAGCATGTGTGTTGCCAAAGAGAGTATAACACAAACGTTTATTCTGGCAACACAGCTAGAATAGGAACTGTGACTTAAAGAATTCAATTACCTATTAGGAAAACTATCAGCATAACCGACCATATCAACAACAAAACTAACAGAAATCATCTGATTATCTCAATATATGCAGAAAAAGAATTTGACAAAATACAACACCCATTCCTATTAAAAACACTAGAGAGCACAGGAATAAATGGAGTCTTCCTTAAAATGACAGGTAGCACCTATCTAAAACCATCAGCAAGCATTTTATGTAATGGGGATAAGCTAGAAGTATTTCCAATAAGATTAGGGGTAAAACAAGGATGTCCATTATCACCACTGTTAGTCAATATTGTGCTAGAAATGTTAGCTTTAGCAATAAGAGAAGAAAAAGAAATTGAAGGAATTAGAATAGGCAAGGAAGAAACAAAGCTATCACTCTTTGCAGATGACATGATGGTATGCTTAGAGAATCCTAGACAATTCAGTGAAAAATTACTTGAAATCATAAACAACTTTAGCAAAGTTACAAGATATAAAATAAACCCACATAAATCATTGGCATTTCTATATGTTACTAACAAAGCCCAACAGAAAGTGATAGAAAGAGAAATTCCATTTAAAGTTACTGTAGACATTATAAAGTATTTGGGAGTTTAGCTGCCAAAACAAACCCAGGAACTATATGAATACAATTACAAAACACTTTTCACACAAATAAAGTCAGATCTAAATAATTAGAAAAATATCAGTTGCACATGAGTAGGCCAAGCTAATATAATAAAAATGACAATTCTACCTAAATTAAATTACTTATTCAATGCCATATCAAACTACCAAAAATTATTTTATAGAGCTAGAAAAAACAATAACTAATTCATCTGGAAGAACAAAAGGTCAAGAACATCAAGGGAATTAATGAAAAGAAACACAAGGGAAGGTAGTCTAGCTGTACCAGATCTTAAATTTTATTATAAAGCAGCAATCATCAAAACTACTTGGTAGTGGCTAAGAAATAGAGTGGTGGATCAGTGGAATAGGTTAGGCATGTAAGACACAATAGCCAATGACTATAGCAATCTACGATTTGATAAATCCAAAGACTCCAGTTTCTGGGATAAGAACTCACTATTTAACAAAAACTGCTGGGAAAACTGGAAAAGAGTATAGCAGAAACTAGACATAAACCAACATCTTACACCCTATACCAAGTTAAAGTCAAAAGGTGTACATGATTTAGTTATAAAGGCTGATAAGCAAACTAGGAGAGCAAGGAATCGTTTACCTGTAAGATCTATGGAGAAGGGAAGAATTTATGACAAAATAAGAAATACAGAACATTATGAAATGCAAACATTTTGCATGATTTTGATTAAATTCAATTGAAAAATTTTTGCACAAACAAAGCTAATGCAACCAAAATTAGAAGGGAAGCAGAAAATTGGGAAATAATTTTTACAGCCAGTGTCTCTGATTAAGACCTCATTTCTAAACTATGTAGAGAACTGAGTCAAATTTATAAGAATACAAGTCATTCTCCAATTGATAAATGGTCAAAGGATATGAACAGGCAGTTTTCAGAGGAAAAAATTAAAACTATCTATAGTCATAGGAAAAAATGCTCTAGATCACTATTGATTAGAAAAATGCAAATCAAAACTACTCTGAGGTACCACATCACACCTATCAGATTGGCTCACATGACAAAACATGAAAATGATAAATGTTAAAGAAGATATGGGAAAATTGGAACACTAATGCACTGTTGGTGGAATTGTGAACTGATCCAACCATTCTGGAGAACAATTTGGAACTATGCCCAAAGGGCTATAAAAATGTGCATACCCTTTGACCCAGAAATACCACTTCTAGGTCTGTATCCCAAAAAGATCATAAAAGCTGGAAAAAGACCCACATGTACAAAAGTACTTGTAGCAGCTCTTTTTGTGGCGGCAAAGAATTGGAAATTGAGGGGATGTCCATCAACTGGGGAATGGCTAACCAAGTTGTGGTATATGAATGTAATGGAATACTACTGTGCTATAAGAGATGATGAGCAGGTGGACTTAAGAAAAACTGGAAAGATTTATATGAACTGATGCTGACTGAAATGAGCAGAACCAGGAGAACATTGTACACAGTAACAGCCACATTATGCGATGACTGACTTTGAAAGACTTAACTGTTCTCAGCAATGCAAGGATCTAAGACAACTCCAAAAGACTCACAATGGAAAATGCTATCCACATCTAGAGAAAGAACTATGGAGTCTGAATGCAGATGGAAGTATACTATTTGCTCTCCTTTTCTTTTGTTGTTTTGTTTTGTTTCTTCTTTCTCATGGTTCCTCCCATTAGTTCTAATTCTTCTTTCTATCATGACTAATGTGAAAATGTGTTTAATATGAATGTATAAGTAGAGCCTATATCAGATTCCACATCATCTTGGGGAGGGGGGAAGAGGAAGGGAAGAAAATTTAAAACTCAAAATCTTATGGAAGTGAATGCTGAAAACTAAAAATTAGTTAATTAATTATAAAAATAAGGCAATTACCTAATGAAGTGACTACAGACTTTTACTTGAATCAATTCATTCCCAAATCAGACTTTTCAAGGAACTTTTTGGTATAAATAAAGCTGAGAATTGCTGAAATAAAGGGCATGCTTTTCTCAAACTGAATACAACACTCACCCAGCACCAGATCACTAACAACATAAATAATTAATGATAAGAATAATAACAGAATAAAGACCTGTCCCAGAGCTGTTTTATCAGGACTTCATAAGATGGGAAAAGGGAGATGATAGTCAACCGGGTGAAATGGAAATAGAGAACCTGAGCCCAGATGTGGGCTCTGCTACTTGCCACCTGTCTGATTTGGATCAAGCTCATTTATCAATCCTCATTTGTAAAATGAAGTGGCTGGACCAAATGATCTCTAAGTTCCTTCTAGCTCTAAATCTTTCTTCCTATTATCCTAATAGTTCAAACTTGGCAAACAATATAAGATTTACAAGATACTTTCTTCACAATTAGCCTGTGATATGTAGTGCAAATAGTTCATCCCCATTCTACAGATTAGAGGCACAGTGGAGAGAGTGCCAGAGTTAAAGTTAGGAAGACCTGAGTTCAAATCCAGCCTCAGACTCTTACTAGCTGTGTGACCCTGGGCAAATCACTTAACCCTGTTTGCCTTGGTTTCCTTATCTGTAAAAATGAGCTGGAGAAGCAAATGGCAAACCACTCCGGTATCTTTGCCAAGAAAATCCCCAAAAAGGATCACAAAGAGTTATACATGACTGAAAACAACTGAAAAACAACAAATCCTTTGTCTGAAGACCTTCACGACACTACAGAGAGTTTTCTTGGTCAGATATAGGTCAGATTAGATAACCTCTGGGGTCACTTCTACCTCGAAGATCCTTGATTTTGTTAAGCAGAAATACTCATCTCTTTTTTATTTCTATTTTCTCCATCAAGCATACTGGCCCCCTGACTGCAAGAGATGGAATAAAAGGAGTCAAAGGGGAACCGAAATCAGAGAGAAGCAAAGTCATAATAAAGATTTACCTGGCTGAAATAATTGAACTCCAGTCCTCTGACCCTGATGAAGACCATCACTCTTAAGGGAACTGGAGAATGTGACTGCTAAGCTGCTGTCAATGATTATCCAGGATTTAGGGGGAAAGAGTGGCACCACAGGACTGAAGATGGGAGAATGTTGCCTTGATTTTAAAAAAAAGAGAAGATAGCATATTCCACAAGCTATGTAAAACAGTTTAACTTCAACTCCTAGCAAACTCCAAGAGCAAATTATTGAACCAATGATGGGTGATTATTTGGAAAGGTAAAGAATGATCAAAGATAGCTAGATGCTTTTTGTCTGTTTTCCTACCTATCCAGTATAAAATCCTTTGCCTAGAACAGGAGGCCTACAAACTACTGCCCAAGGGCTAAATCCAGTCCCCTTGCCTGCTTTTGTATAGCATTCCAAGCTAAGAAGATGACTGTTCTTAGCATACTAGGCCGAATAAAAACAAAACAGGCAGTGGGTGGGATTCGGCCCAATTTGGCTACTGTGCCGGAGTTTGCTGAATGCTAGTCTAGAGTCTAGAATACAAACTTTCTCTGGCATTTAGGTCCTGTGCATTCTG